TCTAATTTTAGTATCTAGTAAAATTTTTGATCAATTCTCTGTGGGATCGATTCTCTGCTTGCTAATATACTACTTATTCGATATGTATACTTGCGTAGTAGAATTTTAACTGACACATGACTTCCCAAAAACACAAAAAGGCTACAAAAAATGTCAAAGCCTTGGCTTTTGCAGGTATGGCAAGCATCTTCCAAAGGTTCAATTGGCCACGCCATGTGGCCAACAATTAACTTGTCAATTGTTCTCTTCTTGAGACAACTTTTAATACATGTAGATACAGATAATGAGATGACGTGAAACGTATTTACAATTGTGGGTATATAATGCATTTCTATTGTAAATGCTTTTACATTTTTCATTTTGGTTTTTTATAAAAATAAATAGAAAATCAAAAACTAATAATAAAAAGAAATTTTAATAATAACTCCAATTAATCACATGTTAATAATGATATTATTGAAATGTGCCTTTTGTTATACAAAACATAAGTTATTACTAAATTGGTTTGAGTAATAAATTAAACATTTTAAGATAGTTCAAGTAATCGAAATGTTAATGTTAATATATATATAGAATTAATATAAACAAAATTAAATTCATTAACTTTTGAGTGGGAATTGGATTGGCTAAGATGTATTAAGTATCGGTCAATTTCATATTTAGGTTATCTTAAGTCAAAGTCATTGAATGATCAAGCCATTGTATGGCTATTTTAAGTTCGGATTATTTTAAACTTTAAATGTTTCAGGTGAATTAAAGTCATTCCAAATATCAAAGAAAACAAGATCAAAGGTCTTTTCCATTTGATTAGGTTGGGCAACTTAATTTCAGGTTTTGATCTACTAAATATTTTACGTATTTGATTTTTTTTTAATTTCAAGATAAATGTACTATTAGCTTCAATTGTAGAATTTTATCAAAATAGTTGGTAGTGAATAAATATAAACATAAAAAATAACATTTATCAAAAAAAAATTTGAAACTTAATTGCTTCATTGTTCTACTTTACCTAACTTCAGTAATCAGATATTGATTATACAATTGAAATGAGAAAAAGATTAGATTGATTCAATAATATCAACAAATAATCTCCATCGTTTAAAATTAAAGATTAGATTTATCCTAACTCAAAAATTTTCAAACTTTTATATTTAATTATTAATTAGATTATTATAAATATATGAATCGACAGCTTATGTATAGAATGGTTTAGAGTGTAAAACGTCCATACCTAGTTTTTTTTTGTAACTTTTTTGATGGTTAAATAAACTAATAATTACATCACATTTGTATTGTAATTTATTTTTTATCATAGATTTCATCAAAAGTTATTATTGAGGAAAAGTTAATAGTAAAAATTATTTAAAACGATAAATGATAAAAATGAGAAAATTAATGACTAATACAAAATACTAATTGAGGTGACATGTCAATGGCCAAACTACTCATCCAACTCGTCCAAGCTCACAGTTATAGACTTGACTCGATATTATTTTTATATTTAATAATAAATATAATTTAAATAGATGGATCAAGTCAGATTAGAATTTTAAATTTTAAAAGTGTTAGTTCAAGTCAAGGTGAAATAAGGGTTTTACTATTCATAAAACGAAGCACTTTACTTTAGTGTATTGGTCTACATAATATATAGATATATCCCTTTATCGAACCAAGCCTGAAAAACCTTGAAATTGACATAGACAACTTTAACACCCT